TTCGCTGTACCAGAATAGGAATGCGAGCAAAACCGAGGGGAAACCCATTTTATCCAACGAAAAAGAATGGAAAAAAGAGAAAAATTAGTAACCCCTTTCCCATTCGAATTTTCCACTCACAGTTTCAAGGATGGCTTCCATTGGAGCATCAATTTCCCCGCAGAGTAATTGGGAAGCACTTCTAAGTCAGTTTAAGCCATGCTTCGTGCATGGCCACACAACCTACGACAGAGAAAAAGGTTCTTCATGCAAATCATAAACCTTAATCCACAACTCGATTAAGTGGTCTCGGTCAATCAACACATGCGTAGGGACAGGCAATTCTGTAATCTCCAAACGTCTGCGGTAACATGAGCTTTAAAGACCTGCGTTCCGGTACCGTGTAGTAATCAAGGGGGAAAGAATGGTGTTATCCTGGCGGCAACCTAAATCTCTTTAGTCTTGCTCCGCGCTGTTTGCATCAGAACTGGGTTCACCTTCCAGAACTACAGGCACCATCGAGTAGAATTCAATGAGCATAGACAAGCTGAATGAGGAAACACAGTTTGATGGCCTGAAAATGAAAAAGTGGAGGTAGTGCATCAGTCATGCCGTAACTCGATCATTGAGTCAGCCGACTACAGTCTTTTGTAGAATGCAACACATGCTCGTCTGTATGTATTCAGCTGTTACAACAACATCGGTTCAAAACTTTCCTTCTAACCAACCAGCGGCAAATTGACGATGAGAAAGAGAACAATGTGCTTCAAAAACTAAAAAACCGACCAAAAATACTTAACTCTACCCCGACAAGAAATTCACTTTCTGGCGAATATTTCCTTTCCGAACGGATAGGAAAGTGACTGAAGATTTCCGCACCAACAGACCAGTGAACACAAGGAGAATTTTAGCTAAATCTTTACAATGAAGTGAGAAGTGAGTTAATTAGAAGAGCGATAGAAAGCATTGTTCGAAAAAAGAAGCAAAAGGCGAGAAACTGGTGAGCCAAGCCATGAACCTGCTTAAACTCTATTGCCTAAACATCAGCAACCATCCTTAATTCTGAAGACTCCGGTTTCACACCAACCCCTGGTTCCTTGATTCGATCCCGCGCACAATTCGCTAGCTGTGTACTGCTTCAGTATCGTGCATTATTGGCATTATTAGTAATAATAATCAAAATCGATTTCCCGAGATGTGTTCGCGTAAATGCTCAATGAAGTTTCATTATTGATACGACACCGTAACAGAAGATTGATGTCCTATGTTCCAGGCGTAGTTCTCTTTACTTACACCCAGATCTGGAGGACGACAGGGCAGAGCATCATAAGGTGCCGCTTCCACAGGCAAGATTCGGAGATAAAATCATGGACCGAATTCAGGCCACCGCAGCCAACCCTGCACTTCGACGGAGTCAGCCAATTGGCGCCAGATTCGTCAAAAGGGATCAAAGTCTGGCTCGCACATCAGCTGGCGCCTTAAGCTTCCATTCAGTCTGAGCCAAATCCGCATTCAAATGTCACGATTCTCAATGGAAGCTGAATGGGTAACACATCACCACAACAAGTTCGATGAAGCCCTATTCTTCAACCTGCCATTCATTCAAAATTACTGTGGGATAGCCCCTCCTGGCAACATTGCCAAGAAAGTGTATCAAAAAGAGAGGTAAACACTTGGATGGCTTCAGGATACAACGAAAGCGTTTTTTTTTCGAAAAATAATTTCAACACTACAAACAAATTGCTAGTACAAGAGGTGAAAATGTCGCTGAAACGACACGAAAACATAGTTGCTGTCGGGATTAGCAGAGTATTATGCAAATGCCGAAGAGAACGAGTTCTACGTTTTAAAAAATTCTTGAAAAAAACATACAGCGATTATGACTCAAAAAGTACACGATTTAGTGGGAATACTACCCTTGAAATCAACATTTGACCCTTATGTTAACTGGAAGAGTTTTTCTCCAAAAGTGTTCTCACGTGATCAGAGTATTTGGAGAGAGACAGATCAATAAGCTATGAATACACAGTCTCTCGAACTTAGGTTAGAACAAATCTGATGAAAACGAAGTCAGAAAGAAATGAGATGCATGAGTATACATTTGTCATCTGCCAGCAAGCTCAAAGTATGGGGCCAAAGCTTTGCATTGCTGGATTTTTGAAAACATTATGTTTGAGCTTTGTAACCGTTGCAGTGAATACAGCCCTTAACGGCAAAATAGTCTGAGGAAACATTAGGGTAACGGTACCTAAATTCCAATACTATCCTACTAATACTATCTGCTTTCTGTCGATGCAGGCGAAAAGGAGTGAATAAAAAGGAGTATGGCAGTCTGTGACGACCCCACAACAGAGTTAGACTGATGCTGCACAAACATTCAATGATTAAATATACACAAAAACAACTACTCCTGTTGTGTCCATGATAAGTAAGAATAATAAATGAAGCGTCTGCTAGTGCTATAAAACTGGTAGCGGGAAAGCCAGAAGCAAAGATGAACTGTTTCAAATAAAATTTAAGTGATGTGAAGAAGAACAAAAGAAGGAAGTTGTAAAACCTGATTGAACTCCATTTCAAAAGGATATATGGGATTTCAGGGAAATGAGAAATGGAAAAGTTTAAACTAGGCCAAACGAAGGATAAAACCACCACCGATTACTCAAGGAATTTAACAGCGAAAACTTGTCTAACTTTCGAGACAGAATGAACAATGAATTATTGTTCCGTGATGCGAGCGCTCTCTTGAACCAAACCTTTTTTACCGTTGAAAAGATTAACATGAGCGACAGCGCCCGAAATTCGCACCCAGAAACTGCTGCTTTGCCTGTCAATTGATTTCCGGTAGGACTGCAACTCTGCAACGCTTGAGCTCCGCTACTTTTGATTAAACGTCGCCAACCTAGCTCCCAGAAATTTGTGGACACACAAAAAGGTACTGCAGTTTGCCTAGTTTCAAAGCGAACAACCAGTTACAATCAAACTCCTTTTCCTAACTGCATATCAGTAACTGATCTAATATAGATCCCCATCAACATTAAAAACATCTTCTACCTATGAAGTCAAGGATATGCAACATGCACTGGCATTCGCCGAAAGCACCTGCACCTCAACTCATTTTCAAAAAAAACGAATGAGCAGCAGATATTACCACCCTTGAACATGACAATGCTCAGGACTTATCTCATTCTAACTATAAGAATAACTAGAGCAAGTGGGACGCGGTATCTCGAGATCTCGCATGCACCGTCAATCATAGCACGCTTCAACGCTATCCCCACGAAACTTCCTTTTTTCGTGCCATCTATCTGACACTAGACAAGTCTGGAGAGAACAATATCTCAACAATGACCAAAGTATACCACAGTTTGAATGGGCCTCGAAAGTCTCATGCGTTGTAAGAGAAGACAAAAGTAAGCCAATTGTGAATAACTTGACGGGGCCAGCACTCTAGTACGTACTTCCTCATTTTTTCCGGACTCCTCCCACTACTCCTTGGCAGAACACCGAATCCTGATTCTTGGCGAGAAGAATAAGTTTTGATAACAAAAAACTTACAGTCTGAAGTCCCACAATTTCCGAGTGCTCAAAATGTCGTACAGGCGTAGAAAATATGCCCGGTTCTGGTAATCCTAGAAGCTTACTCTCATCGGGACACAAAAGCCTTCACATATGAATAAAAATCAACTACCTTCACTAGCGATATAACGCCTCGAAATGTGAGTTTCCACTGTCTGTTTTCGACAAAAAGCAACTCGACTACGGCAGCAGACAACGAGACATTGTCGGGTCCAAGTATCGAAAATAGCATTTCGTTTTCCTGTCTCTCCAACAACTTTGACCCCGTATTGGGCGGCCGCCTTTTCCTTCTCTCACCATCTGGAAACGAAGTACTTTCTTCACATTTTCTTCCTCGATCTCAATGGTAGGAATGTGGGGCAAGTGATATGTTGGAGGGATCGCGGTGAGAAAAAGGAAAATAGGTTAAAAGAATTTTTTCAGTAGGAAGGATTGGCTACTGTACAAGGGAAAGCACAGTTTCTATTATAACATAGCAAAATGTTTTATTGGAATTTCGAGAAAAAGAAATGAGGAAATGGATGAAGCAAGAGACTAATATAATTAGAATTTGACACAGAGTGGCGGGTTGACTGGATCAATAACTCAATTCTAACGCATTAATTTTATGGAGTTGCGACAGCATAAATTTCCTTTCGCCGTATCTATTTGTTTGGTATTACTTCTGCGCAACGTATGTTTGAGTGCGTAAAATAAACAAATCAAAAGCTTTTCAGAGGTAAGGGCTGCCTCTACTTCAAAACCCCAACGGAGTCGAGTTGATCCTTTCTGTAAAACGACTTGCTCAGTTGTCCACTGTAATATGTTGCAGAACAGTTAGAAAAACACCATTGATAAGCCCACGGATGATATGTGACTGTTGTAATGGGGACAGAAGCTCTTACATTGGAAAAAAAGCAAAGCGTAATATATACAGTCAGCGCAATGCGTGCAGCTCAACAAGAGAGAATCAAGGAGAAAGCTCCAATCCACTAACATAAAGGTAATAACAGAAGTTTGTAAAGCAATACCTGTATAAGAGTGCGGCACGACGGATGTTGGCAGAGTAGGCTGGTAGCAAGTTGACATCCTAAATTCCAACTTATGACAAAGCAACACACTTGAGGAAAATGGGCTGGACGCAACACGACAGCTAAGAGTAGATGAACGCTGAATCGAACTTAGGTGAATTACCAGAGGACTGAGCTCGGCTAGAAAAACAACTATGATCGTAATGCTGTGCTCATGTACCTAGGAATTACGGTGATGTTATGATGTTTTTTGAATAATCACTCGCGATCATCATCATCGGGTAGGATTACGAGAATATGGAACATGTGAAAAAGAGGGGTATTAGAAGTATGGTGATCATTTCACAAAAGAAAAAATAAAGAAAGACTTTGAGACGAAAATCAGGCCATATCCTTCATGACGAAACCGAAATTCGATTAATAGGAAGAAATTTCTACGAACCAAACAAAACTTGACGTCGTATTAGTCAAGTGCAAATGAGTCTGTAAGGAAAGTCGAAAACGTTGTAGTTGGGTCACTGCGGACCGCCTTGAATTCCTATGTATCGCACGAAATGATTCATTGTGAAACAAAATCGATCGCGCAAAACACCATAATAACGAACCATTAAAGACTGCAACTCGCAGTCAGCGCCTTCAGTGCCTAACACCCGAACAAATGAAAAAGTGCTAAATCCAGACTGAGGTTTCTTCTCTCTTAGCTGGCTAGGGCTTACTATGGATCTATCCATATGTGCTGCAGTTACGCCTTGGGTCATAAGAAGTACTGCCGGCATTCTCTTCATCATATTTACCTCTCTCTGATTTCTCACCAACGCAAACTAATCTTGGCAGAAAAACCTGAGCAACCGTTGTAAGATGAATAAGATATAAGAAGGTCTATCCATAGCTACCCGTCAACTATCTCGTAGTATACCAACACATTTAGCATTAGTTCTGACGATAGCCAGAGCGGAAAGAACCAAAACCCTTCAGTTACACCCGAACACTTACAGCAATCAATACGCTTAGAGAATGTATACAGTAGAATAGCACAAGCCAAGTACTGCAAGATGGGGCTCCATGTGCCACTCATCGGTCTCAGCCGTTAAGAGAACATGATGAAGCAGCGACAGTTTACATGAGACATAATATGATAAGGGGGCAAAATTTCACGGCAAACGAATGCAAATGGCATTAGTCATATTGCTAATTAACCATCAAAAAATTCATTTTTGATTCAGCCCATACAGAGAAATATAAATTATTAATAACGTCCCTATGTTCGTCCGCTTCTTTCTGATCAATTTCACACAAAGCTCATTCTGACCATTGATCAGAAATAAGGCACTGACCATTACAAGCAGTACAAATAAAGGTTTATATGTGAGAGTAGGTTTTTACTCTCTCAAAAAAACTTATCTAATGTTCAGTCAAGCCAAGATGTTGTGCATGCTCCCCACTAAAAGCTACAAACCACCTCCCAACTACTTTACAGGTTTCTCCACTGGTAGACTCTATACACTCTACGATCAATCGTGTTGGATTTAATCTTCAAGTTAAAGATAGAACATCATCAAGGAAATTAAAACATTAAAGCGGCATTACAACAAATGTATGAGTTTGAAAAGATACACGATGTCCATTTAGAAAGATGACAAAAATCATTGAAATTCTCAATCCTCTATCCTTTCGTAAAAAGATGCAACTATCATTGGAAGGCCACAATATAACTTAGGAAACGGTTTGCAACCCAAAAAGATCAAATCCGCTCTACGGAACAAAGCATCAATAAGGTCTCTCTGACTTCTACTCAACGCCTTCCACAGAAATTCAAATAATAGAAGAGAATAGGATGAAAGCAGGATGAAGGAAGCATGACGATGATGGGTGCAAAACATCTTATGTTGTGTGTGAAGTGCAGTAACATTGCAACAGAAAGCACATCATGCTTATCTCAAACGTAGCTGTGTAAAGTTTCAGAAAGATTGTTGACTCACTTCACAATACCAACGCAAGACACGAGGAAGTACAATTGACATAAACTGTCTCTTGAAGTAGTACAATTGAGTGGAGTGCGGTTACAATTACAGAACTAGCACGAGTGTTGCTATTCCTTTATAATGAGAACCTTCTATCTGGTGAGTCGGCCTATCGATTTATCTGTCAGTTCGTCTGCACTCACTCGTGATAAGGAAGCTGATAGAAGAAACCACCATTATCATAACCAGGATACCTATGGACAATTACATTGTGATGTTATTATTATCTACCACCAATATAAGATTGCCAGACATTTGCGGTCACATCAAGGTGATAGTGAAGATTGATAAGAGAAGTAATAAAAGGAAGCAACTATTAACGCAAAACTTGAGCATTTATCGGTTCGGTGGTAATAAACTAACGCGATGACATTTTTCCTTGACCACAAGCTGTTACTACAGTAAAAACTCTAAGCCTCATAGGCACACCGTTTGAAGGTCAGAAGAGCGTCTTTGAGGGCCGCGGCCACCCACTGTAACATTCAATTTGGAGCAAACTATACATCTAATATCTATTACTATCAGTCGTTCCAGCTCATGCGTAACTCCCCTCCTTTTCCCGTTAAAGATAACCGGATGCCTGTCTCCCCTCCAAATGTTGTGTTTCCGACCAATTATCCACACACACCTCAACACAACTCGTGAACGTTTGCCTCTCATGTGCAGAGTTTTATTGAAGTCGTGCAAGTGTAACTTGGCTTACGCGCGCTCCACCTCCTAAGGCCGAAGCCTAGTTTGCCACATACCATCAGTATTCCTGTATTATAACTTACTATACATAACGCGCTAAGTGTGCCTGTCGTGTATGTCGATGTGGGTGTATGTGTGGGCGTGTGTGTTTGACCGGAAATTTATGAGCCCTGTCCTCGTGGATTCCGATTTGGTAGGAAAACGGGTGGCAGGGTGAAAGCACTAGTGGTAAGTACCATTAACGAACTCCGCTCATTGTGGGCTGGCGTACGCGGAGCTCAGGCTCTTCGGAGCTGGAGCATTGAACTTCGGAAAGGATACAGGCGGCAAAACGGGAATAATAATAACGGGTCGCAAGAGCGGACTCCATTCAGGATGGGGAGAGGATTGAAAAACAACAACCTATCATAAGCCTTTCAGACCATATGCCGTGAATTCATTCACCACCGCAATCCTTTCAGACTCGAGCATTGACATGTGGAAGTGTTTTTAATGTTATGGTTTCAGTGTAGAATAATATCCACACTCAAGATGCCAAAATGCGATCGAAAGCAGCAGGAGAATAGGCAAGAATTGAAAACCACAATTACCATGAACAAGGGGTTGAACAGAAGGTTTGTGCCGGATTGTTTGCCAACCTAACTCTGTTTATTTGTAGATCTGTCATTCTGTCTCCCTATCCACCACGATGTAGGTAATTGGGCGAAAAAACCCACTGCTAGCAGAAAGAGAAAAATCTAAAAGATCATGAAGTTTGGGGTAATATGGAGATAGTTGTAGTACTGAAATAAAAGAGCAGTTGATACAGATGATAGCCTCCAACTTGTCTGTTGTTGTAACCGCGGCATAGTTGTTGGTGATAAGAATATTCTCGTGCAGTACGAGGTTGTTAGATGGAACAATTTATTAAATTAACGACTTAACGTTCTGACGCAATCCTCTTCTTCAGAGGCCAGAATGCAACTCAAAATGATTTGCAAAAGATCCAAAAAGCCCGTTATCCTCACGTCAAATGTGACGACGAATTCAAAACCCACAGTTTAAAGCATGATGGATGACAGTAATTTGAGACAAGATAGGAGAGGCTGTAAAAGGCGTAAGAAGGGAGGAACTACTAAAACCAGTACGCTACTAACAGTGGTGTGTTGAAGCGCAACGCATCAAATCGAAGCTTAATGGTATCGTGTGCGGACGTTGTCACAAAATCATAACAACTGAGAGCTGCTAATGAGAGTTTGTACGTGAATTTTGTGCATGGAGCTTTCTATATAAAACGTCACCGATAGAGAATGCAATACCGAATCGAGTTTAAAGAGTAAGCTGTATCAGAGAAGCTAGAGGCAACTGATAAGGACTGATAAATGTGTTAGCAGGCAAAGAAATTGAGCGCGAAGTTTACGTACCCTGCTGGACGATGGAAATTTATGACGGGAGATAAAGAAAGATTGCAGATTGTAAAATTGTTACAACAGGAAAATGCATATGGAAAATGTGTGAACACACATTTCCCATATACGTATCCTGTTGTCTATCACTCACTTGAAAAAACGCGATCCAAAAAGTAGAATGATGTCCACCTTAGTAAGTTCTTCTAGAAGTTAGAGTCGTAGTCATGAGCGGAGCGTGAAATTTCGTGATCAGAGTACTCGGCTCGAGGCAAGGCATGAAGTGCGCCATGCGGCTCTAGTCTTCCTGGCTCAAATTTCGTATCAATGGAACATTAGTGGCTATGAACCTATTTCGGATACCTAAGGAGTTCAATGAACAGACCGAGCGATCACATCAGAATTAGTGGAGGTCAACAATTTCACTTTCTGCCAACAATACCGATGTGGGGACTCCGTGAGATATAGACGTTTGCAAATGTACAAGGAGAACCGTTCATTTCCAGTTAGTTGAACTATGGTTGTTCGACCACCCACATCAGCGATTCACCGTCGAGATTCTATCAAAGACTGATTTGTAATGGATATGCCTACAATCGATTGCCCGCATGAATTCGAATGCTCCAAGCTGGAAGAGATCGTCTATCTATGAATAGGTGGGAATCAATGTTGACCCTATGTAATGAAGCATTCGCGAAATGCTTCACACCAGATCATCGCTGGTTTGACAGTGAGACTAGAACAAATTGTCATTCAGAGTTGGACTGAACGCTCAAATCTCCGATGTAGAAACTTAAAGCGGAAGTTTCCATCCACCTCAACAAGACTAATCTATACAGACGCTCCAGTAGACCTGAAGTAATTCGCTCTAACCCACAAATCTTTCGCTCCTCATTCACTCGAACTACGACCAATATTTAGTCCGGAAAAACTTCGCTACTCCCACATAGTGATAAGGACGGGTTCAGCTGCTTTGTATCGCATTGGTTAATGAAGTTTTCGAGCGTAAGCCATGTAATAAAAGTTACTTTTGAGGACATGTTTTTCTAGTAAGCAACCTAGTTAATAAACATCCAATTACACCGATTAAAGAATTCTATATGAGTCTTGGCATATAACGAAATTTAAAGGAAATCGAACAGGAGCGAAAATTCTTTCCGATAAAGGTAAAGTAAGGTATCACTGCGGAAAACTTCTGCGACCGAACTAAATAGCTCCTTTAAAGTTTGAAATTTTATTTCCGGCAGGACCAACATTTGGGAGTAAACGAGAAGTGGGAGGCAGTGGCAACGATGAATCAAATCTTCCTACTCTGCTTAAGCAATTTCAAACTATTGATGTAGGTTATGGAGGAAGAAGAATAGATAGCAGGAAGACGTGGATAGGCCAATGAGACTGAAGCTTTTGTTCTTGCATACCGCTGTAAGGAATCTCTTATTCCTTGTATTAAAATCGAAAATCAGTTCGCTCTATACACTTCTTTCGAGATGTGCAAAAAGGACAAGATGTTGGGAACAAAGCGATAGCCTTACTTAAGTTATAACTGACTTAAAGATCAGGGTATATGTACAGTTTTCAAACAAAAATCACGAGTTGGAACTGCCGACGCAGACTAACATTCAATGTTCCATTCCGCTCCACACACTATTAAAAAAAGTCACATAATTTCTCACAATCGTAATAAATATTGATCAGATCGCACAAGCACATTTATCTATACTTTCCCTGTGGGAGAGTGTGCCAGAGAATCCAAATCAAACCACAGAATAGATCAATCATCTCACTAGGCTCCGTAACGATGTAATAAAGTTAAACTCACTGCGTTCAAGCAGATATTCAACGCTACCCCAATATCGGGGTAATTAGTGGACGAGAATTCACCGGAATTTAATGGCTCTGGATTAGTTCTCTCAGCTCATCGAAGCAATTCAAATGTAAAAAACCCTGGGTTGCATTAACATTAAAACGGCATGTCGCAGTTGTTTTAACAAATCTTGTTTCCAACAGGGCATGATGTACCGCAAAGCCACATGATTTCCAAAACATAATCATTACTGCTAAGTATGGCCCTGGATACAAACTCTTCCAGTCAAATGGCTTCCCCTAGCGGAAGGTCATCTGCTGATAAAAAGATGATGACATGACAAAACGCCTTATCGACACTATTTTGCGATTGATTTTCACTTTCTTCTCTGCTTCTACCACAGCAAGGATCTTAAAGTTGCGATCAGAGTTAAAAGATAAGGAAATACGAAGGATTGTGGATGTAGGTGATGAAGTGAAACTATACCAAATAATTGCTTCAAAAAGAAGATGATTCGAAACTTGAGAGAGATGAATGGTAAGAGAACACCATAAATATAATCAGATATGATGTTAAGCATAAAATGCGTCGCAAAAACCAGTTAGTCATAGTTCGGCAAGCGGTCCCAAGACTGACTCGTCCATGTCCCAACACAAATCGGTCGATACTGCATCGAAAGCACACACTACGTCATGCCAACGAACGCTTAACCGTGCGCGCAAGCATTCGTTTCACCAGATAACAGCTGATAACACAAAATCATATCGTCATTCATTTTTCGACCTGCTCTTTGTGTAAGTGCTCATTAACTTTTGTATGATGATATTTTGTTGGATAAGGTTTAGTCCTTGCTATTACAGGTGTTGGAGCTGGTCTGTGCTTTGCGATGTCTAAGAAATTTGATCGATTGCTGGGTGAGGATCTCCTTCGAAGTCTATGCAGTTGTTTTTACTGGTTTAAATGAATGAATAAATGGATTGGTGACTTTTAAGAGGCTGCCACTGACAGCACGAATTTGGAGCCTAATTGGGATGGAATTATCGCTTGCTTTGATTCAATCAGATCAGGGGAAGTGCCGTAAGTTGTTTTTATACGGTCTGACATCATCATAGCTGTTGTTGGGCTCTGAAACGTTGTGTAGAAATGCCTAAGGGAGTAGATAGGTGTATTCTAAAGTGTGATATATTCAAAAATGGAAGTTGGTGTCATTTGGTTCTAATTTGTTTCCATAGAATATGACTAATTTACTTGTGTATGGATTTTGGATGAATCATGATTTCACAAACTTTGGGTTGTTGTAACCAAAGATGAAATGATAAGATGCTCTACTTTTGGTATGACTCATATCTAAATTGAGTGGAAATGTGATTAGGTGGCTATCGTGGAAGAGTTTTAATGAGTACAAACTTGGGAAGTAAATAAAGACGAAGAGAGGGGCTGAATCAGTTTCGGTTTAAAAAAAGTTACCCTCATACCGTTCCAGAGCAAAGGCGGCGATGGTGGCAATGCGGAAACGAATCCAACATGACAATCCTCATGTTGTAATGCATGCACTTCTTGTACTGGATGCTTGTGTCAAAAACTGTGGCCACAAGGTACCATTATTGAATTCCATAGCACGTTTGTTCTATGGGCAACTTTGTGGTTTAGATCCACGCAGAAATTGCTACAAGGGAATTTATGGAAGAGTTCAAAAATCTGGGAATTGGAAGTCAATATGAAGATGTACGTTTTTACCCTAAACTCGTTTAGGAAGGACATTTGCGGTAGTTTCTTATGACGTTTTTGTCTATTCAGGTGAAGACAAAAGTTTTGGAAATGCTACAGTGCTGGGCTATGGCATTTGCTAACAAACCTGAATATAAAATTGTTGTGGATACCCACAACCTTATGAAGCTTGCTGGTTTCGATTTTCCATCGATAAAGGAGGCCGATGCCATGTTCACTGCTCAAGTAGCCCCTGACTGGCATGATGGTTCGGAATGCTTTCGGTAAATGTCTTTCCAAAACTTTTTGCTTACAGTTTCCAACATATTTAATGGCTTCTCTACAGATGTCGGTCCGAGTTCTCACTCTTTAATCGTAAACACCACTGCCGCGCTTGTGGTCAGATTTTCTGTGATCGCTGCAGTACCAAAGAGATTCCTTTACCACAATTTGGCATTGAGAAGGAGGTAGTTGTGACCACTGCAACGTCTCCTTTCTCGCAAAAAAGCTCAATTTAATTTCAGGTCCGTGTGTGTGATGCTTGCTTTGAGAAGATTTCATCAAAGGTAAACGAATCCAAAGTAGTCAAGGTATGTTCCAACTTTGTTTAATCCCGTCTCATTCAGCTTTATTCTCCGTAACGTGTGCATAGAAGAACATTATTTTTTCAAGAATGAGCCATTAGCTTCTACTTCGGTGAAGGAAGACATTCCACAGGCTGAAAAGGAAAAACTTCTTAAAGAAAAAGAGGAGGAGGACCTAGCACTGGCTCTAGCCATAAGCCAGAGTGAGGCAGAAGCGAAGGTATGATATTCTTACATTTTTGGACGTTGGATCATATATCGCTATGGCTAAAGGTTAATGTGTATATGGTTGTTATAAGGCTGCAAGTAAGATCGATTTTTCTTGTGATTCAGGAGCAAGAACGACAGAAGTCCTTGTACGCAATGTATAATGGTGACACTACAGGCACTTCTGCAGTTAATGTAAGTTTACTATTAATTAGGTTCAAAGTTCATCGCTTTTTTCACCATGCTCTCCCACTTCCATACTCTTTCTTTGTTCCCTGTTGTGTCTATAATAATGTGTTTTGTAAGCGCTGAGAAGATGGTTACTCTTAAAATCGAGGCCGAGTCAAGGTCATAAATTTTGGTGACTTTAGCGTCACAGATTATAAGTTCGACTTTCCATGGCAAAATTACCTGCTATCGTCACCAAGTGCAGTGAAACATAATTTCACAGCGGTTGGAGCCAACAGTGGCCAACGATCGCACTTATATGAACAAAAACCAGAACCGGCTACTTATATGAACAAAAAAGGGGTTGCATGGGTGGTGGTTTACTGATGAGTTGGACTGTAAGGATGTTCTGGGCATCTTCCGGTAATGCGGATGCATTTGGTGGCGCATCTTCTTTGCCCGTTGGTATGTATCGGCGGGTTATCAAAAAAACACCGATGCTGTAGCTGCATCTTGTAGAATCAGATTCTTCGTTGGTTCGAGCCAAAAGTATCCCATTGTGTCTGACCTGCTTTCACAAATTATTTTACAAGCTCTTATTTGTCGCTGTAAAAAGTTATTGATAAGAATATCATGCAAGCCATGTTCGTAGCTCGAGAGACTTTGCAGGTGTCGACCTCTGAATGTTACCCAACTAAAACCTTCGGATACAAGTTTGTGACTATTGAAGTGTTGGCTCATTTTATGATTCTGCTTTGTCTGTGAAGCAGAGCGATGTGAGCTGATGACGTGTGAACTGATGACCGAAAAAGTTTACAGTTATTGGCATTTCTTTGATGGAGGATGAACGAGAAATGGGGGTCGTTGGACTTCCCGTCCTATTGTTAGCCTTGATCGTGGTACAAGTCACCTCACTGACTTTTGAACATTTTGCTTCTCGATTTTTGCATAGCGAGAAGGCGATCACAGTCTCGAAGGGAAAGTGGTCCGTTGCAGAAATCGACGATTCACGAAGGAATTTTGGAGCAGCGGTTCTTTTTGGACGTTCTTTTATGTTCAGATTCGTACCAACGAGAACATATGCACTTTCACTCAAACTCAGCATCACGTGCAGTGTTGGTTTGCCGACATAATCGATCCTTTCACGTGTCCGACCCACCTGATTTTCGATTTCTAGGCGTAAGCATCAGCGTCCCCGATCTTCGCTTGTTGACGGGGTTCGGAACTTCGGGTTCCCTTCTGCACTTGCGTATGTATGGAAATTCCGGTAATCGTCCTTTCCAAAGCGCGTTGAATTACGCTGGCAGATGTTTATCTTGGTTTCGTTGAGTCCAAGTCACTGAGGCTTAGGTCAAGCAGGAGGTACAGCATTGTCGAGAAGGTGAGGGCGGAGCCGTATGGTCTTTGTCTTATTCACCGCTCCTCGATATTGAAGGGCCACTTTGTATCGCGCTATTGGACCAAACTGAACCGGTAGGAATGTCAGAAGATCTTACCACAGGCGCCTCTTTCTGGAAATCTGACAAAAACACGCCATTTTTACAAATTACGGCCATAGATGTGCAGTTCTTGTGCCTCTCCGCAGAGCAGTGTCCCGTTGTGGTGAGCATTTCTAGTGGAATTGGACTATTGCTTTTGGAATTGCTAATGACCAAGTTACATCGAATCTTCGTAGCTTATTTCATAGTCTTTGGACGGTATATTTGCTGAGGTTTTTCCGGCTTCTTTTTAATAAACCAATATGTTTTGAGCAAACATGAGGAAGGGTATTTCTCCAGAAGAGTATCTCAACCATAAGCGGCTGTCTTCTATGTTTTACAGACGCAGAACGAAACACCGTGTTTGCGAAGCCTTGTAGATTTTTCAACACTGAGCTTTTTCTGTAAAGGAATCATTAATGGCGTATGTTTAGGATGCAGCCTCGCTGTCGTCGTACAACCCGTCTGAAATGGGTTACAAAGGCGCCGCGCCCAGCATAGCGGAATCTCCATCTGATAATCTTGCTGTAGATGACCCTCTTGCCAGGTACTTCAAAAGCCACTGATCGCGTGTCCACAAAATCAGTTATAAGCTGTTGTTTACTCTAACTATTCAGATATTTGAATCGAGACTACTGGCAACAACGGAAAGCTGGAGCGTCTGCGAAGGTCAATTCTTTTTGTGCATTTTTGGAATCTTTTGTCGTATTATCTCAAAGAGCTTCCAAACGGCTAATTTCTTTCAAAATAAACTGAACATCCGTTCAGTGTGGGATTGACATGGCTCCAAACCATACACAAGAATAGTTTTTGTGATCCAATGGATTCAAAATTGAGATTGATCATTTCTATAATTACAGGTTGAGGAATGGGCAGGTGCTTCAGCTTCTGCCCCAACCCCGAGCGACTCATCGATAACACCAACGAATATCGCTGTTGCTCCCGTTCAGGCTGAACTTGCTCAATTATCATTAGGCAAGACGTTAGCTGTTACTGATGATATGAAATCCCAGACCGAAGGAACACTGAAGTGGTGCCAGCAATTGAAGGAACAGGTATTGAGTTTTGATAATTCTCATTGTTTCTTCCCCAGGTGGCTGCTTGTATTCCTCCATTTTTCCGGGTCAGCCGCTCTCTGTGGGCAAAAGGCGAAAGGCGATATACAAGGGGAAGGTGCTGGTCGATATACGAGGTCGATCCCACACTGGATGCACGTGGAACTTTATCCCTTTTGAAGTCCTCAGGCGGGCCTGTTGTGTATTGCTGCTCAACCCGACTTACTGTTCAACGTATATACGGGTTAATGGTCTTATATCAACCTTGTATTTGTGATGCGCTCGCTTCAATGCAGGATCATAGATGCGTACTGTATGCGTATTGCCGGTGCCATAACTTACGGTGACCATTTTGTTTCCAGTCACGAACACCGGGAGGATGTAAGACTCGCTTAGCCCATGTGGGCACCGGTCCAGTATTCGGCCCTTGGACCAAGCTACTTTTGGTAGTGCGCCACATGCCACAACACCGGCTCCAACATGGATAGAGGCTATAATTAGTCCATATAGAGGAGCGAAGCAAATCACACATGCTTGGGCACATTCAGAGCGTGACCCAGTCGACGATAGGTACGCTTCCGTTAGCCGCTGATGCTCAGACCATCGCAAACGAGATGGCGGGTCATTTCAAGTGTCCAAAATTCAACTTACACTTCTCACTTTATCTGATTGAAAATGCTCAGTTTCTCCTCTGCAGTTCTTTCAATTTTAGTACCCTTGTTGCTAAGTGGTTTTTATCTTGCAGGTGACAGTCATGGAGAATCGAATCCGATCAAACAATGCTAGAGGGCGATCTGTTTTGAATGACACTGCTATACAAGGGTTGTTTTCGACATTGACTGAATTCCATTCACAAGTTCTGGGTGCCTTGACTAAACTAGACGAAGAAAGAAGTGCGTTTATAGAAATGGATGATTTTACAAATGCTCAAAGATGAGTTTATTTCAATATAACTTTCAGCCTATTACGAGTCTCTGCAAGACCACCTGGGTCACATAAGTGAGGCTCGTTTAGCGATTGATGAACTTCGGGCAGAACACGGTCGTCGACAACAAGAACGTCTTGCGGAAGAACAGAGGCAGCGACAGGCACAGATGAAGCAGACTTTGGAAATGATGCGCATGAAAAAGCACGTGAGTGTCATTCCTTACAAGTAACTTATTTGCGAGAGGGCACAGCTCACGATCAAAATGGTCACTGGGTTTTCTCCCTAGGATGGACCCGTGATCCCAGAGATAGCATAAGGCACGCTGTCTGGTCGAAAAATGCCTAATAAAGCGTAATAAGATCCCCGAAATCGGCTTGACCTTTCTTACTCAAAGAGGGACGAGTTCTTACGTTGTAAAGGTCGCGTCATTCGCCCCGGCACACACACTTCTTACGCAGGCAGCTTACTGTAGCTAGCTGTACGCAATGGCCCACATATCTGGACAGCTCGTCCGAGCACCCACTCTCATGCAGCTTTGTTGCCATTCTCGTCAAACCCGAATTTTACTACTTTTTCAACCTTATACTTTTCTGATTGTGCCAGATTTCGCGTTATTTTTTACCACTTTTGCACTATTCTCTGTAATCACTTCCATTATTCGTCTAAAACTAGATACTCTAATACTATTGTAAGCTGGGGTTTCACCTAATCTGTTTCCCACACAACAATCATTCAGGTAATGTTAATGGAGCAGCGCAATGTTGCATTGCAACGATTTCAACATCAAGAAATGCAAGCGAGACGAGGACAGGTATGGTCTAAAGCTGTTTTCGCTTGCTATATTTTTTATTCATGCTCTGTTGCGTAGATGGCACCAGGCCCCTATTACCCCAACTATGGACCACAACAACCTGCGCCAGCTCAGGGTGGATATCCAGGTGAACAACTTCTCTATGGGGTTTTAGTTTTATTGACTCAGTTTGAATTTTTCTAGTTTATTCTGGATTACCAAACTACCAAGGGTACGCTCAACAGCAGTTCACTCAACCTCATACAGGATACCAGCAATACCCTAATGCACCCCTTCAAACGGCTAACCAGTGGCCAGATCCAGCGATGCAGATTCAACAAAGTGAGCGTTCCGCTTTTCCTGACCGACACGTATTAACAGTGATCATGTAGATTCTTACTCACCATCTGTTGCGCATGCACAACAACAACCGAATCTTCCAAATGGATCCGCGCAAGCAACCCACCATCCGCAAGCTCACTCTCAGCAAGCTTATTATGGACCCGTCCAAACAGCGGCTCCAGCAGCATCATATCAACAGGTAATAGCTTCATTTCTCCAAACCGTGGAAGGTCATTTGTAAAGTTTGGCTAATTGTGAGGTGCTGCAGACGTTTTTTCAGGAGGGTTAGCTCCAAACTTTATCAAATATTTGCAAAGCAATTGAACAAGCTAGATTTTTCGCTAGACTCAAGTTACCATGAGATATTTATGGTAACTTTTTGTATAGCTATATGTCCACCCGAAAACTTCGGAATTAGCATGATAGGATTTTCTGGCAAAATGCTCTCGGAAAATATGCTTATTAGGTAGGTGGTGCTGATACCCAAAATCCTAATCACAATACGTTTCTTTTAATATGTATTTCTTAAGAACATCCTATTTTGCGAATTTTCAGTTGGGCTTGGAATTGCGCAGAGCACGGTGTGTTTTATGTGCCTTCAATGTATTAGGTTGCAAGGAAAGTTGTCGTCGTTTTGACAGCTAATTTTCAAAGAATCGTAACTCATCTCATGGCGGACATTTCCATTCAAAATAAATCCCATTTGATTCTATACATTCTTGCCAACGTGATGAAAGTTTGATTACTCCGCTCTTATGGAAAACCGGTGTCCTGGACGATGGAGAGCCTAGGAAGGCGTTTTGTGACGTGTGTTTGTGGTCGCGCAATGTCGTGCGCATTGGTTGCTGCTGCTTCGTTAGTTGGTGTGTCATCTGCTTTTTAAGTTTCTCAACCATTCCAAGTGCTTGAGGTGGTCAGCGACGACTGCATAGGAAGCGCCCGTCTTTCTAGCAATCTCTCTCAAAAGTTGATGTCAATCTTCTTTGACTGCTCCTAGAAAAGTATCGTGATCAACTAGCGATGATGGGCCAACTTGCTCTTAGACTTCCTGTGACTTATCTCCATTTCTATGCTTCTTAAACCAAATGCAGCGCCTTCTTCTTTGCAGATCGACCATGCTTTAAATCTTGAAGTAAACCGTTCGAAAGGCGGTCTAATCTGTAGACCTCTGTCTGTAAAATGTAATCGAAAATTTGTATAAAACCATATTTAGGTTTTCAAAAACCTTACTCAATTTTGGTAAAAGTGCTCTGACAGTAAGAGCAACCATTGGCATACATAAGGAGCACAACACTTCGATTGGTCTCATCCGACAGCCGCCAAAATTTTAATTTATAAAGCGCGTGCGCGTAAACGGCAAGAACTTTCTTTGTAACCCATCTGATGCGGTTGTGTTCGAAGGTTCCCTATACTCTAAATGGGTGGTAGTAATCGAAACCGGTCGATAACTGATTCAACCATTTCAGCAGCCACCAGACACGGCACAGCCACCCCAGTCAGCACCTCAGAACAGTGCTGCTGTGCCGTATGTAAACAATGTACCCCAACAACAATTACAAATGCCACAGTACCCAGTGAGCCATCATACCGGATACCATCAGCAACTTCCTGTGAACGGTGATCAATTTTCTTACAAGGCTGTACTGTAACAGCATGGCATTGCAGTAAATAATACATCGTTCTAGGTACTGAAGCAGTTGCCCCTGCTCAGCAAGAGATCGCAGAGCAACCTCTTATTTCCTTTGACTAACGATTGCAAGCAGAAAGCTGTGACATGTATTTCATTTGTGATACGTTGAGTGAGGCTCGATGCTAAATTATTCCTTTCTACGTTGTCGATTGGGTGCTTTTTGCCGGTGGCTGTGGCATTCTTCGTGAAATTCCATCTTTTTATTTATTTCAGACTAATCGTACTCGTGTAGATGCAAAAAGGTGAATTCAACAAATGAATGAGTGCATCGAAATTATTCTACTGTATATGATTTACAATGAAAGGAAATAAATTACTTCTTAAAGACTTCTTAGTGGTAAACCACATTGCGAGTGTGTGCCCGTGCGCTTCGCGGTAGTTCTTTTAAGGACCGATGAGCAATGTTATCTGATGTGCTTCACTCTGAATACAATTGGCTTCATTGACAACTTTGGCGTTAATAAAGCCAAAGCTGCAACTGCCTTACATTGTGAAATTTCGTAGTTACATATACGATCCTTGATGAGGAGTTAGATTGGCTACGGGAAAGCTTCGTTTTCGGGTCAGGGCTGTTTTTCAGTCAACGTAAAGAATGAAGTATTTGGATGCTGATCAGTCCTGCCTGAAGTATGGGCCCCCGAATTCATCTTTCATTCGGAATCGTAGTGTCGTATTGAATGCGTATGTGGCCTATACAATGAATTGCGGTGGCGAGCCGCTGTACAAGTTAGGGCCTTTATTCTCCCAGACAAGCCGGGGACGACTGGTACCAGCCGACGAACTAGGGGGATGGAAGGCTTCGTTTTGGCCTAGGCGAAGATCTATCCGGGCACTCGAACCCGTGGCCATGCCTGTGTAAGATGGTGCACCACTTGTCACCACACAATCTCCCCACGTATTTTGTGATCATCGTGAGCTCTTTGATAGGAGAACAGGTATTCATTGGTATGTACACGAGAAGTTGCTGTTTGTATTACGTCTGGATGAAAAAGGAATATTGGAATATTCGAGCGGATTGAACACTGCACTGTTGTTACCGGCTATTTTCGTTACTTTTATGAAGCTGATTTTTGAGTGAGGTTGTTGCATACATGTATTTATGTAACAATGGTCGGCCAGTCAAGATCAGTAAGATGGAGTGGAGCAATCTTTTATGCCATGAATCGCTGTTTTTTCCTTGTTATATCGACAACAGTAGTAACATCTTTGGTATTATGAAAGCGACAGGTCACGATGCTAAGCTACTGGGAGTACAGGCCACCGTAGGAAGCTGTCGCGACGGGGGCACGTAGGGTGTAACGTCTGCACTTGCACTGATGAACTTGCTCTGCCACGCGACAATGCGGTCCTTCTGGAGCAATCCGCGACGCTGCGGATGACGACATGCATGGAACTTGTCAGCTAAATTATTGGCAAAAGAACAAAGAACAAAGGTTATCAAATTTCTTTGTAGACGAATAAAAGAAAGTTAGGAACCTACGTTTAACCCCCTACGTCACTAGGGGACTGTCGTGATTCGCTGCCCTCGGGTAAGGAGACGATGACGGTGTCCGCTATGCAGGACTGCGTGCCTCCGCGGCCCCGCTGTCCTTGGAGCTCCTCGATGTATGCGTCCTACCGGAGCTGCAGATGACGACAGCTGCCCACCGGCGCTAGCACTTTTTCCTTTCTTCATTGGTTTTCCTGCACCTCGGAGCTCCTTCTTTCTCTTTCCTTCCTCAGCAGTGCGTTGAAATTGGTGCCTGCGTGTTGATGTCCCATTTGTCGGCGAAGCTGCATGACGACGGAAACTGGGAAGATGACATGGTTGCAATAATACTCTATAGAGTAGGGAAATAACCTGATCCGTAAGCTTGTAAGCACTCTCGCAACAACTTAGGAAATGTCGTTCTCTCATCTGTACAGGGTGTGTGGAATCCTAGGCTACATACATTGGAAAGTATGGAAATGGTCGAAGAATCAAGCAGAACATTGCACTTTGTGAGAAAGTGGGGCACATCTTGACACTCTTTTATGTGAAGAAATTGAAAGGTATGTCTACATATGCGTCCTCACATCAGGAAATATGGGATGAATACGCATGGTGAACGCATGGAGTCACGCATGCATGGCCTCGGGTTCACATCCCGGATCGGTTTTTGCCTAAGCCATCAATGCCTTCCATTCCTCCGAGGTTGGTTTATTAGTACCAGATTCGTTTGGGAGGATAAAAACACTGAATTGTGCATCGGATGACCATCGCTAGTCATTGTATAGGTCGCACGCTTTCAATACGCCACTAAGATTCCAGATAGGAGACGTCTGCGAGGCGTATCTCTCAAACGGGTTGATCAGATCTCACATACTCAATTCTGCTTTATCTTTTACTGCGCATGTGCATAAAAGCGCAACAGTTTTCAAAAGTCAGGCTAGGAGATCTTAACGTCGCGGGTCACTGGCGAGCAAGAACTCAACAAGCAACAACTGTCTATAACTTCCGAAATCAACTCCATGATCTGCCTCTACAACTAGGCCTCACAAACAGGCATACCAGAAAAGAGTTCGTATTCTACGTACGTATTATTAAACTCATCGACCATTATCATAAAAGAAAGGTATGCGAAGATGGACAGGTCTCATGTCGGACGGGTCTTAGCCGGCACCACTGATTGAGCATGCATGTAACAAATACATATGGGAAGGAGTCTTATCGGTGTATTCGAGAAGAAATCGTTAAAAACAGGGCTTTTTTGTTGTCTAGTTAGATGGGTCTTTATTTCTTCTTTCACATTATAATTTTTCTCTACTCATTCTCGTAGACGAGTTTGGTAACAATTAAGCGATTACGGATTGTGGAAGGCTCGTTTGGCTTAGGCGAATTTCGATACGAGATTTGAACCCGTGGATGTACGTGTGTGATAGTGCATCACATGCCACTACACCACAACCGCAATCTTAGATACAGATTACTGTAGTGTGGCACTGAAATGCTGTGAGGGAGCTGATGCCGGACATTCCGGCATGCCGTCTCCACTTCCCCGTCATTGGAAGTTCCATTCAATCCACTGGTGATAATCTTGTTCCGCTATAAAAAGCGTTGAACTATTAACTTGCGATGGATAAACATTGGGTAAGCAGCTAACTATCTTCTTAAATGAAAACGTTGAACTTTACTGATGTAGATATTCGAAAAATTTACAACAACAAAGCTATTAGTTTATTCTCGTGCTCCAACATATTTTTATCGTGCATTCAAACTCATTAAAAAAACCCGTGTACAGTTTAAGAAGCCCGAAAATTAGGACAGAGATTGTTATTTATTCAGTCAATAGTTGAAAAAAAGGAAAGTATGTCTCCAATGGGTAAAACAGTGATGGGTCAGTTGATCTTTGAAGAATTCTATCATAATCCCTCCTTCTCAGATGAAACGGTATTGATATGAATACCAGAACTATTGTGACTCACTGGCTGAGTTGAACCAAGGGAAAAACGATCATGATTAGGATATAGTTAAGAAGGTTTAGTCAGAAGTGTCTGAGATGTCTTCTGCTGACGCCACCAACGCAAACGCTTCAGGTTGACCTGTGAGATCGACGTACTTCGGAGTGATGAGTGCGTCCATAGTGGTGCATTCCTGAAAAGCTTGGATTAGTCTCTATCAGAGGGATGCGCATTCATTGGGTGCTTTCAGAGTTCAACGCCGTGCACTTTTCCATAGACCGACCGACGGCGTTGCTGGCTACGTGTTGACAA